ACCACTAAATCGAACGATTAACCGTTCGAACAATTTTAACCACTTTTTTATTTTTTTTTCTTGTCAAAATGAATCGAACGTTCGGTTCGAACGGTCGGATGTTCACATCAAATATGGGCTGTGACCACAAGTGTCATTAAATTTGTGTCACTGTCTCTTGTGGAAGATGTTGAACTAACAGTCTGGAGCATATTTATAACACGAAATGGCTAATGAATGCTATCTTGAATGGTCTCCCAGGTCAAACCAACATACGCTTCCAATGTAAATTAAATTAGATGATGCATGACAATTAAATTTCTGTTGTACGATTACTGTTTCTTTTCAGACGTTTTGGGTTGATCAATGCATTGTCTATCCACAGAATGGTGGCACAACACAAATCTGACCCTTCTATCATCCAATAACATTACTTTCTTGGACCTATTGGCAAATTTGAGAATCTGTCACACTTTGGAAATAAATAAACTATTCTACTTGAAAATAACACAAATAAATAAATATTCTACTATTTACAAAATATATATATATATATATATATATATATATATATATATATATATATAGCCACAAGGAAGAATAATGGGTGAAGCCCTAGCTTTTGCACCAAAAATAGATACAATATATATATATATATAGCCCATGTTTTAGAGGTAGAAAGTGTGAAAGTAATAAAATATACAAAATAATAGATGCAAAAATCAAACCAAAATAGATTTAGCCCCTATTTTAATGTAAAAAAAAATAGTGAAAAAAGTTGGTGAAGAAGAAAAAGATTTTGTAGTTTTAACATTAAAAGTAATGAGAGAAAGGGGCGGAGCCCTTGTTTTAATGAGAAAAACTGGAAAAAAAGGGTGGAGATTTGTATAGGGATGTTTTGTTCTGGGAAGATTTGTAATGGGGGCTATCAAACTTCACTTTTAACTTTCTCTTTGTTTGAATACGCCTTGTAATGCTTTTTCAGTAAATTAATGAATTAAATACTACTTACCGATAAAAAAGGGAAAATCAAATTGATATTAAGTTGAAGGTGTTTATGCATAATTTAGTAAATTACTAAATTTTTAAAAGATTTGTTGGTCCAAGTGTTTTAATTTAGTTGAAGGTATGAGCCAATGAACCATTAAGAAGGCATTTTAATTTAGTTGTAGTTAAGATTTTGTTTGTATCCAACTTGGATCCAAGCCCATTGAAATCTAAATCTAATTTGAATCTGGGTACTTGATTTGTAGATTTGTGATCTATCATATATCTAGATAGATATGATCGTTTTCTATTTGTAATCCATCTTCTATAGAATATATCTCCCTATGGTTAAACATAACTCAAAATTGTGAAGAAAAAATATGGATGATACCTGATAGTATGATACATAGTAAGTACTTAAAAAGATTAAAAGAAGTTGAGAGAACAAATTTCCTTCTATGGCTTATTAGAAGGGGAACGTTTGAGAATTATTTCAATCTATCATGCATAATTCATAGTGTGTATACTTACTAAATCTTTTCTATTTTTATCTCTATGTAATATAAATGACAATCGGTATATTTCGTAGAGTTGATTTTGGGGATGTTTCTATGATTTGTCATAATCCTTGTCTTAATGAGAAAAACTAAAAAAATGGGACAGCCCCTATTTTTGTGCAAGAAGCAAGACTACAATTCTTAGTAGAAAGAAGAAGAAGAGAAAGGGCAGAGCTCTATTTTTCGTTTAAAATCTCTATAAAAAAAGAATGAAGAAGAAGAAGAAGAAGAATGGAGCTCTGCCCCTGTTTTAACATTAAAAAGAATAAGAGAAAGAGGTGGAGACCCTGTTTTAATGAGAAAAACTGAAAATAAATGGGGCGAAGCCCTTGTTTTTGTGCAAGTTTCTATTTGAAGAACAAGGAGAAGAATTCCAGGCTAAGTCGCTAGGCTACTCGAAATAATGGGGCGGAGCCCTTGTTTTCCCGGTTGCTCTATTGCTAGAAGAAAGAAATAAGAAATATCTATACCTAATGCCTCTATTCAATTCAAGCTTGGACAAACTAGAGCATAGAACTGGATGAAATAGGCTTCCTTTGGTTTGGATGAAGGAACTCTTCTCTCCCCACTTTTTTTTCTCTTTTTTTCTGGCAAAGACCACTGTCAATTTAGTTTCCTTTTCTCTTATGTTTCCTGTTTTGCGTTTTTTATATTTTAGTGTTACTTTTGAAATTATTTAAATACCTTATCTAGGCACTCACCTATGCCACCTATCACCTGGCTTGAGGCGCACGCCTAGGCACAAAGGTGACATCTATTTAATGGTTGTGCACCTTAGCTTGCGTGAGTCACACAATTTAGAAAGCACCTTGCCTCTATGCCTAAGGCGCACCTTTTAAAATATTGAATTTTATTGGCTTGAAAAACACCAACTTGGAAAAAAGGTTACTGAATAGTTAAGGTCCTTTGTGAGACAACTGACAAATAATAGATAGGGATATAGTGAGGAGAGTAGGAGACAGTATATTATCTAGTTATGTTATGTTCTTGTTTCAAACAAACTTGAAACTTGAACTTCTTGTTCCATTCTATAAGTTAGCTTCCTATATATCAAGAAATCCCTAGGGCTCTGCCATTCAATGGTTTCCAAGTGATCAATGTCTTGCCAAATAGACTTAAGCGTGGAGGTGTACAATGTTTTTTTTCTTTTTGAAAATTGAAAATTAATTCATTAATCAAAGGGTAGATCTATTACAAATAAGCCGAAAGAGAGGTTTTGAGGAGCAGCCTCACTCTTAAGAAGATTGTAATTACATGAAAATATAAAACTCGCCAAAAGAGACACTAAACAATTATAAAGTTGCCCAAAACAAAGAATCTCTATTAACCCCTTGTCTAGCAAGAGTATTAACCATCTCATTAGCTGATCTTCTTACCCATTAGATTTTCATTGTCATATTCCTTATTAACCGAACCACCTTCCTACAACGACTTGGGAATCTTCAATTATCAGCCTTTCTATACCTATTTGACTGGCTAGCTGAATCTCCTGTACAGCAGCTAGTAGCTCTTATTTGGTAGAGTCTCCTAAGCCAACTGGGCCTAAGAATAATGTTAAAACACTTCTGTCCTAATATCTCAAGATTCATATGCTAGAGGGGGCTGCTTCCATCAAAGTTTAGTTTAACAAAATCCTTAGAAGGGGACCAATCTACAACATAACTCTGTTTTGAGGATGAAGTGCTAGCCATTTTTTATCAGTTCCTCCAAAAGTCATCAAAGGAAAAGAGATGAGACAAGTTTGTTGTTCTTAGTTGAAGGACTGCATTCTGAGCTTGAGCATTGGTCATACAATGCGGTTATGGTTCAACAACAGGCTTTTAGAGAAGAGCCCCATACCCAACTTGGAGCAAGCTGGGTTGGGCTTGCACATTGGCAATGCAGACTTTTACTTGGAGCTGGGTTGGGCAGAGGCCCAGTCCAGAACCTTCAGTTACGAAAAACTATGACACTGGAAAGACATGTTACTTTGACCAATCAAAGCACCCCGTGAATTTTGATGACTTTTACTTGGACATTGGCAAATGGCAATGCAGACTTTTAGAGAAGAGTCCCATACCCAACTTGGAGCAAGCTGGGTTGGGCTTGCACATTGGTAATGCAGACTTTTACTTGGAGCTGGGTTGCGCAGAGGCCCAGTCCAGAACCTTCGTTAGGAAAAACTATGACACTGGAAAGACATGGTACTTTGACCAATCAAAGCACCCCGTGAATTTTGATGACTGCACCTACCTGATTGGTCACCTCCTTTGGCTGCAAGTTTTTCAGGTATCATGTCTTTTAGGTATCATATCTTTTCAGTATCTTTTTCTTTTTTTTTCTGAAACTGTATTGTTTTGCATTAAAGATAGTCACAAAAGATAGAAAGAGATACCCCCTTACAGAGGAGTTCAAATCAGCCCCCCACAATACTGCCCCCCACAACGTCCCACAGCACATCCGCGCCATGTATTGGGAACATCTCCCGATGATAATATCCAGAATGATGATGTCATCATTGGGAGATATTCCCAATACACGGCAGGGATGTGCTGTGGGACACTGTGGGGAGCAGTTTTGTGGGAGGCTGATTCGGTCTCCTTACAGAGGACCTGTATAATGGAGAGAGACATCTAAAAGAAAAACCTTTCAAACATCTGTATACAGTGTGCCTTTAATAGTTTTCATAAGGAATTCAAAATCAGAAAAATAACCATAATTTTTCCTTAGAAAAGCTTGCAATTGTGCTGCTCGATCTCAAATATTCTAGCACTTCTTCCCCCCTCCCCCCACCCCAAATAATCCAAACAGCTGCAAGTGTGACATTACACCACTCCTGATTAAATTTTTCAAGCACCAGGCTCCTAAAACCTCTCCTGCCTTCTGGAAAACATCCCTTTACTGCAACGGCTGAAGAATTTTTCATCCTGCCACCGAGATCTATGTATGCATGAATGCATACATTTTAGTAGAGATTTTTCGGTAGTTTGGATCTGACCACCGATAAAAATAACTATAATTTCTTCCTCAGAAAAGCTTGTAATTGTGCTGCTCGATCTCAAATATTCTAGCACTCCTTTCTCCCCAAATAATCCAAAGAGCTGCAAGTGTGACATTACTCCTCTCTTGATTAAATATTTCAAGCACCAGGGTCCTAAAAAATCTCTCCTGCCTTCTGGAAAACATCCCTTTACTGCAACGGCTGAAGAATTTTTCATCCTGCCACAGAGATCTATGTATGCATGAATGTAGACATTTTAGTAGAGATTTTTCGGTAGTTTGGATCTGACCACCGATAAAACCGCTTTTTGCTGGAGGGCACGGTCACGACTGTTGTCATATAGATATTTTAGTAGAGATCTACAGGCAGTATGGACTAGATTGTCAACAAGATTTCCAACATTCAAAACTACCAGCATAGGCCTACAAAATATTTTAGAAGACATTTGCTCCAGATATTCTGAAAAGCCAAGAAAAATTACCAATGTAAATGCATGCTGACGGTTAATAAAAGTATTGATTCATCTGCCAGAAAAAAGGTCCTTTAGGTAACCTGCTTCCTGTTTCATTCATACATCATTTATACCATTGCTAAATTTTAAATCATAGTAACATCCAACTTTACATAGTATGCAAACTAAAATATGGATGGGTGTAGCTGCTCTAGCATATAATTTTTTTTTATTTTCTTATCTTACTTTTGACCTGCATATAAGACTGCTGCCATGTAGATTGCTTTGAATAACAGTGGAAAATTTATACAAAAGATGGAAACATAAATAACACAAGGCATGTCTCATGGTGATCATCCATTATCCACCACCATATATGTATGTGTGCTGAATGATTGCCAGCAAAAGAAACCTCCAGGGTAAGTCCAGTATCCTGTAGCAGGGAAGAGTCTAGTTGATATTATCTGCAGAAAAAATTTGCTTCACTAAAAGCTTTCATTGTTCTCATGCTTTGTGGCCAAAAATGTGGGCAAGTGCATAACTATACCAGGTCCATCAAGCTTGTGTTCCATTGGTGGAATGATTCTCAATTTCTCAAGTATCAGAAGGGATAAATGAACATTGAGCACTAGTGCTTGGATGATTTTGTTAGAGCAAGGGCCCAATATATTCTCCCCTTATGCATTACCACATGAACTTGGAAATGAGTTTGTGGACATATTTAGAGCCTTGTGAACAGCAAACTTTGCAAGACTATCTCCATCTTCTCACACATAGGTGCATGTCCATCCCTGAGGTTTTCACCATGAATGTCTCTCTACTTACTAGTCCACTACTCATAACCATTTGCCCAGACAGGTATAGCATAAATTAGAATCCCTAAGCCAAAAGATGGTAGTATTGTCATCAATGCATATGCATTTGCTCTCCATGGATGCTTGCTCTCTCTCATTGCATTGTACTCAGCAATAAAAGTGGAAACAGTACTTAGACACCCCATAAACCCAAACTGAAGTCCTGTTGCAACTGTTTCACAAGTCTTGCTATCAACCTGCAGAAAACAGAGAAACCTCCTCAGAATCCAAATAATCTTTACTTAGCTGCCACAACTAGTAACAGTATTGTCTAGTGGGAATTGAGATGACAAACATGGCAAAGGTAGAACAATTGGACCACCCTTTAGTACGCCATCCATTATTAACACAAAATTTAGTTTTGGGTTGAAAAGCCAACCATCAACTACAAGGTTCAATGTATGATTTCATAATGAATCATAGAACAAATGTGCAACACTGTAGAATGTGCATTTGGGTTTTGTTTGATTTAGAGTACCAAACACTGTAGAATAAAATCTTTGGATGACAACATAAGAATGCAAGTTTGAGTCTGAGAGTGGGGACTTTGTGCAGAAAATGCCAAAAGTTAGGTCTATCCAGTCAACCCTCTCAACACCTGAGATAGCTAGGATTAATATTGGGAAGTGGCCTTTTCAATACAGAGTGCTGTAAGTTTAGAGAGGACAGAAATTGAAATTATGGCCATGCTGAAAAATTATGTGCTGCATATATCCCAATGAGCAGACAATTGTTCATAAAAGCAAAAGAAATCCCTGTTGCATGATATGTGCAAGCCATTATGATGTTATTGAAACCTTACCGCTTTCTTCACTGTTGCAAGTGCTGCCATAATAAAAGCTGCAGAAACATTTGCAATTAGAGTTCCAAAAGGGACCCACTTCAATAAACCCTTCTTTCCTAACCCTCTTCCATTAAGACGGGCTAAGAACCATCTGGCCCACACACCAGGAGGTGCAACCAAGCAAGCTAACCACAGCTCAGCACCCTTGTTATCATCATCAAACCTTTTTCTCACCAATGCTCCACTAACACCCCACAACAAGCCAACCATCAGTACCAACACCATAAGAACTGCCAAATGCCGTTTGCAGCTGTCCACCCTCCAGGTTTTTTCTGAGTTAGTGATGTCACTTGAAGATCCTCTTCTGAGTTTCTTGAGTAGCTTCCTGAAATCTCTGGCAGTATCAACCCCTAGAATGATAGATTGAGCAGCAAGAAGCATGCCTGCCATGAAGGACATGAAAATTGAGAATGCTCCCATAATGAATGGCCTTACTAAAAATACTAGCAACATAATATGACAATACAGGTAGTATGGACTACTACAGTGTAAAAGTGATGCAAATGATATGATGGTCATTGATCTGGACCAAACAAATGAAAGAGCTCTTTGACTAGAAGTAGCATGAAGTATGCACTGATTTTATGCTGTTAATAATCTAAGCGCATATCTAAGGAATTGTAAAGCTACCAAAAAGGCCCACATGCAGAAGGTAATTGTATGGTTTTGTTCATTGGTCTGTATTGCACAATGTTGTTGCCTAACTAGACAACAATTCAACCAATTCAACAAGAAAAAGTCGGTATTTTAAAAGTTCAAGGTGCAAAAAAATGCACAAGAGCCATTTTGTGCCCGAGGCAAGAAGCGCAAGACGAGGCACACATTTTTTGAGCAAGGCACAAAAATGCAAAAAAAATAAAAAAAAATGCACTATTAAAAATGTTAAACACATTATTAGTTAAAAATATAAACTTAAATTTTAAAATAAATGTTTGAAAAAAAAACCTATTAAATTAAAATACATAAACATAACATGTAAAACATATTTAAAATAAAAGTTTAAAAATAAAATCAAGCATAACACATAAAACGTATTCAAGCATTTAAACTCTTAATCTCTTCAATTTTTTCCCAGTTGCATTACTTCAAATAGCTAATGTGATGTTAAACATTATGCATTCCTAATTCTATGAGCCACCTTTGTACCAAGCCACTCAATAAAAGCCCAAACAAGACCATATCAGAGTCTGAAATTCTTAATCCCTATAAAAAATGGTTTTATATCTTTGAGTACCTTTTTAAAATATCTTTTATTAGGATGAATGAATGAGCAACATTAGCAAATATGGGGTTCTCTCTGCTCTGGTAACATTTTTTTATAGGGATTAAGAATTTAAGACCTTGATATGCACTTGTTTGGGCTTGCCTTGAGGGGCTCCGTTAGGGGTCTAGGGGTGGAGCCCCCAGCCCAGCTTCTAAGCATTAAAAAAAAAAACCAGAAAAAAAAATGCACAAATTTTCAAACGGTGTGCACCTGGGCTGAAGCGCAAGGCACACCAGGCGTATGCCATTTGAAAGTGCTGCACTTGGGACCTAGGCAAGGCGCTTACGCTAAAATTTGTCTCACCTATGCACCTAGGCACGCCTTTTAAATCACTGGAAAAAGCACCATGGAGCAATCGAACCCAACCCCCTATACAACACCACACAACACCCCCCCCCCCCCCCAAAAAAAAAAAAAAAAAAAAAAAAAAAAAAAAAAAAAAAGAGAGAGAAAAGGGGGTGAGATGGAGCAAAAAAGGCCCCCCCCCCGAAAAAAAAAAATGAAAAAGAGATTGAAAAAGAAAGGAAGAAAGAAGGGGGAGACAAAAGAAAAGGAATGGAGTTTAAGTTTATAGTAGTAATTTTACTTTCAAATAATCCTCTAAATGAAATATTACCTAGTAGAAAGCCAACAACACAGAACACCCAATGACCTTTAACACTAAGATCAAGCATTTTCTGGTTCCAGCCACTGAAAGTTGTGAGGCTTCCCAAGTATCCTGTTGTCAATCCAATTGCCAAAAGATCGGATACATTGCATATGTCTCCTTTGAAAACCACACCTAACCATCCCATCAAGAAAGAACCTACCTACAATAGCACACATCATAATTTTGAGGGAATAATCTTGAGAAACATATGAAAATGCATAAGCCTCCAATCAAGTGTTGATGAAAAAAAGATGGCTAGGGATAATAATCTTACTTATATGTTTAACACATTAATGCTGCATTTGGCATTCCTTATTTTAAGGACTAATCTCCTTTTTGAAGTTAAAATGCCCCTATGAACACTGAGTTTTTAACTGCAAAAAGGCGATAAATCCTTAAAATAAGGAATGGCAAATGCAGTCTAAGTATGAATTGAAGATATTACATCCCTTCATGATTTTAATGGGAAAAACATGGAGGTATGAGGGCCATACTAATTTTGGACATTGGATCATTTTTGTTAAAAGCATATATAATTATTGTTAGAGTTAGCCGAATAAGGGTAGATTAGTCAACTCACCTTGGTTAAGTTATGAGCTTATGTGGCAGTCTTATTAGAGGTTCTCTGTCC